TATATATATATATATATATATACACACACACACACACATTACATTTACATTTTATATTTATCCAGTGTGCATAACAAAATAAAAAATATAAGTTTTTTTTTTTAATTAATTTTAAAAATAGATCCTTAAAATATGCACAGAAATTCTTTATATACACACAGACACTGCAGACTGGTGTGTCAGGTTGAATCAGACAGGAAATACTGACTGCATACCTGTTTTGGCATCATAAATAGTGAAGAAGAGCCCTCCTCCAATGCCCATGCTGTGGGCATTCATCAATCCCACGCACAGCAGAGAAGCAATGGCAGAATCTACAGCGGAACCACCTCTCTTCAGGATATCCCTGGAGGACACACAGAGAGGGCATTTGCCATGCAAACCTGGATATATCATTTTAAATATCAGCATGCACCAACTAAAAAAAAAAAGAGTACAAATATACTACAAATATATTATGCATTGACAAAAAAGTGCAATATGTGTTTTCATTTTATTACAATTTATCTTTATCGTTAGCATCTGTAGATTTTGTAATTACAGTACATCTCCAAAGTTTTTTTTTTTCTGTTGCACAAATCTGAGATCTATATTCCTAATGTTTTTACAGAGGGATTTGTTCATATATCATTCACCTGATTTATAAAACATTGCATTCCTTTATTCCTGGATCATAACAATATTTTCTGATTTATGGAGTGATAAAAAGAGATATCCAAAATCTCCTCTGTAAAAACCTTCAACTAATATGCCTACAAAATGAAACAAGAATTTTGATCCTGGCTTTTTCCAGTGTTCAGATTTCTGTTTTGGAAATGTATGCAAATTAACGCCTATTTAATTAGGTGATGCCTAATTTGCATATTTAATTAACATTAATCAATTGGGAAGTATGATGATACATATTAGTTCATATTTTTTCACCTCTGGTGTCGTGTCTTAAGGATCTATTTCTACTAGATGTGACCTTTAAAATGATGATCATTGGTGTGCTCAGTTTGATTCAGTGGTATTAAATAATAGTTTTCACTTACATAAAACCAATTAAAGTGGATTTCACTTCATGCAGCACATTTCTAAGTTGCCTGACAAAACAATTTTATCTTGGTTGGCTTTCCACAGAAAAATAGGTTACCTAACAAACATTTAGGTGTGCTCTTCATATGGTCTTCCTTACATCTTTGCTGTTTATTTACAAAAATATAAATTCTGATGTAAAGGGGTCTTAATGGATTCATTTTATTTCAATTGCACAAAAACTACAGGTCATAGATGGCAAAAAGTGAATGTGCATTTCGAGAGAACAGAGCTCAAACCTGCCGATCTCTGAGCACGTCCCAGCATCTGCTGCCACCGCTGCCTTGAAGTAACCATTTTCAGGTTCAGGTTCAGGAGAGGACTTCTTGCCCTGCACCGAAAAGAAAACGGCCAAAAACGTTCCAACTGCAGCCAGCAGCAGCAAGGTGAGGCCCACCACAGTAGACTTCTGCACCATTTTCCTGCAACATGCAACAGCAAATGTCTAGTTTTCTGTTGCTGATGTATATAGACTGCCTGTTGATGTTTTTATGCCACCTTATCTGAAAGTAATCATATACTTAATTAATTTCACACTGTACATTCCTAAAACCTGGGTCAATGTTCCTATCTGCATATTTGCTATGTAAATGTCAACAATGGACTTTTCAGACTATAAAGGTAAGAATTAAACAGTCTTGGATTCGGACATGATCTGATGCCTTCCAAGGTAGGAAGGCATCATAGAGCATTTTTAGATGGATGCCAAGGCGGTCAGGTAGAATTTGATCTCTGACCCAGTTCGTTTGCTGGCTTCCATGGCTGCAAATACGTGGTGTTTTCAGCTGGCAACCCGGTGTGTTCAATTACTATTGGGTAAATTGGCAGTGGGCGGAATCACACAGACCAAAACAAAAACACACATTCCGACACGGAACACACATTTCAAAAGTAGAATAACTGGCTGCAGCATTGTTTTTGGGAGTAACAAGTATGTGAACTTGAACACTGACACCTTAAATATGCAAATGAGAAAAATAACCTGCGATCTAGCCATATAGTGTGAAATGTCAGCTTATGGATACCCAGGGTTAATTGTTAACTCCAGGTAAATTATGAGCAGCGGGAATCATGACACAAGTTAACCCAGGATTCCCTTTACCTGAGGCTTAGAATTACCAAGGGTTAACTAGGTGTAAAAGCCATTAACACTGCTTTGTTTCACACTTTACAAGTTTGACATGAAAATGTGTGGTCAACACTGCAAAAGCAGGGTTTCATAACCTCCGCCTTTAAATTACAAGTGTTTAACCTGGGGTTAAATGTGGGGTTTTGAACAACAATAACCCAAGGTTAAACACAGTGTGAAAAGCCCAAGCTGAAACAATCAAGTGAACCTTCAAGTGAAACTGAACACAATGAATTACTGAATTTAAACAAATAACTGCTACGTGAGATGAAAAGAACATGGACTAATTGTACCTAACAGATAAGATAAATGGGGCTTGTGTATTATCATATAACCATGACCTGGTCATATTAACTTTTGCAATCAATGATTGTACAATGTAAGTTGTGCTTAAAGGTGCCCTTCAACTGTTTCTAACCATTATGTAACACAACATAATTCATAAAACAGAATACTAACAGCAGATCTAACAGCTGGAGATTGAATACACTTACAACGTTTTCTACTTTCTGGCTAAATACATAGTCAAGGCATAACTGCAAAGAATATGCATTCAAAAAAAGCATAATAAATTGTTCTCTGTTAGTTGGCTGTTAGCAATCCTCTGAGGAAGATTGTAGCTAATCAGGATTCTCCATTACTGCTGTTTCTAGTCTAGTTTTGCTACTAAAATGCTTGTATTGCTCATTTGATCATTATACACTTGCTTTGGTTCCCAGTGTAAATGAACTCCTGATTCTGTATCATTTAAGAACAAAATGAGCACTATAAAGAATAACAGAATGCATCCTGGCTCTTTCTTATTCTACATTTTATGTTGCTTAATGTAGCTTTATTTATCCCTGCCAAAGGCAGCAAGATTTCATGCATTTATAATTTGAAAACCTGGAATAAAAAAAGCCTTGTATGAAGTGAAATCCTCCTCAGAAAAGCGCCTTTTCATAGTTTCAAAGCCCTGCTACTGTCCACATTAAATCCTGTCAGACTGTGCTGTGTGTGGGAACGAACTGCAGAACATCTCAGAGAAACCTGCAGTGCCTGCAGCCAACAAAATTAAACCCACCACACAAGAGACTAGAATTTTCTCACACACACAGAAAACATTGTGTTATTTCCTCCTACAAATCGCAACAAAAGAGCACAAATTACAATCCTCAGAGTTCAGTGTGTTCCAACATAAAAGACACAACAACAGGAAGGATGCTGCACAACATTTCTGCCTTTTCTCATATTTTTCTCCTTGCTTTGTGTGTGAAAATAATCTTGTGATGATTCCGTTAATTTCATAACTCATGAGTTTAATGTACATTGATGTTTGAGTATAGGGAGTATCACCTACCTAAAAACTTCACAGGCCTCTTGTAGAGTCACCCATAGAATGAGCCTCCTTTCCGCAGGCTGACTGAGCCAAAGCTGTGAACCTCTGGCTCTCAATGTCTAACTATAGCCATCAAACTTTAACCAAATCACACCATGAAATCATCCATAATTGTTTTATTGACACTGCAAAGGGCACAGGTTGAGTGGTGATGGTAAACCCACCCGTTCCACAATCACAGCAGAATGACGTCTGCAAAAAACAACACTAACAAACTTTTTACAGCTACATGGTGATTTTTGTTGTATCTCTTGTATTCACGCATTTAATCTTTGAATGGTTAAGCCGTTCAAGCTGTAATCTATTATATTTGCCTAGTTCTAGTGAATGATTAACTATGGGAAGTTAATGTTCCATATAATGTAGACATAAAAAAAAACAAATAATCAACATCTAACCTGTTTACTGGTCTAACACGCCTCTTCAATGCCTTTACTCAACACACACTTCCAGTGAACATGTCCAGAAAAACACCATGGTACATGTCCAGATATCCAAATATCTAGATTTTGAATCATTAGATGTCTCTGTACTATTTTTTTGGCAGTTATATGATTTAGCTACATAAGGAATTATTTGTACTGTGTGTACATTTTGCTGCTAACAGAAGTCCAACCATACTCTTTAAACTAGCCTACTGTTGGTACCATGTAAAAATCAAAACACTGGCGCCATCTTTGGTTAATTTCAGCAGGCCTATGCGTTCAGCAAACTGCTTTGTTTATCCTACTTAAGCTTAGTTAAATAAAACTGATTAATAACTGAGTAAGGCCGACACGAGAATCATTTTCACAACAACTAGTCGCGTGTTCGTATTTCCTGTCGACTGTTCAGAATCGCAACTAACCTATTCGCGAGTGAATCACTGTACTGAATCGGTTCCTTATCATGATTCAAACGATCTGATTTGATTCAGTCTGAATCATTCGGACGTCTCGCTAACACGCCGAATTGTTTGGAGCGGGTTTTTCGTTAAAACACATAGCCTACAGAAAACAAAAAGAAAATGCATCCTATCGTTTCTGTATTAAATTCAGCACCTTCATGCGAAGATTACGATTAATCTGTGACAGATTAAGGCATTAACGAAACATTTAAATGCATCTTTTCTGAACAACCACGTACCATTTTACATCTTTTAATACTGTCATTCAATAACAAGGTTTTTTTGTGTGAATCACTAGAAATATTTCTGTGAAATTGTTCGTTTTATGGTTGCATTGATGGTTACTATTACAGAATTTTTAGTAACCCGATACCAATACAGTAGCCTACGTGCTGACAGGACAGAAAGGGCTTCCCAACATAAACACTGAGCTGTTGAAAGTGGGCGGAGCCGTGTCTCCTGTAAACACATGTGGAAATCGAGCGCTCTGATTGGACAGCGATTGAGATATGGGCGTGGCATGTGGGGAAGCCTGGAAGAACACAAACACAGCGGAGGTGCACAGGGGCAAGAGAAACGCGGATAAAGTGACATTTAAATTATTTCGTGCGCTCAATCTGAATTGTACTTGATCAATTTGATTCTACACGAGCAACTTAACACGACTAAGTGTAATTATGAGCGCGCACTCACTAAAGAGAGCTTATAAGGTTTACTTTACGCATGCTTTATGAAAATAATCTTTGTATTATTTGATACTGAAATAGGGAAGTTGAAGCATGGGATCGAAGTTGACCAGACAAAGTAGTTTGGACAGCCAGGCGACTTTCTTTCGGATGGGTCGACAGCATCATGAGCGGGATGTGGAGAAGAGGAGAGGAGGAAGAGGAGAGTTTTTATTCAGTTCACTGATGCTCAAGTCCGACAAGCTCCCCGGAATGCTGCGCAAATCCAGTCCCAGCCCATATGTCCGGAGAGTGGCTTGGGTTCGGGAGATCCAAACCCTGCTGAAGGAGCAGAAGGTGGAACAAGCCATCGATGTGTTGAAACTGCTTAGAAAGGTACAATACATCATTTATTAATAAAGCAGATTATCTAGTTCTTACACAGAACTACAGGTTGTTGTTGTTGTTGCTGCTGCTGCTGCATGATGTTTTCACCTGAGAAAATAAAAATCACAAATGAGATCTCTTTAATATCTCAATATTTAAATCCTACCCTGAAAAAAAGAAACTGAGAAATTTCAGTCTCAAACTGCGATCATATACTAAAGTCTGCAATGAAAAGTGTGAGGTTTCAACACGAATACAATGCGAAATAGTTCTAATAAATTCGTACAATAACATTCTATCTGGCTGTAATAAAGAATTATATGAACTAAATTATTTGAACTAAAAATGTTACAAGTCTTACGAAACTACTTTGGAAGTACCATGGTACAGTGTTGGTAAAACCATGGTGCTTTAATATGCGCCAGGGTACTAAATGATTACCATAATAAACCATAGTATTTATAAGGTAAATTATTATTATGTGTATTATGGTATTTACATGTAACCTTTTCCAAAATAGAAGGTAATGCAATGTTACTTTGTTGTTAGTATAATAGTATAAAGATTATTGTATGAATAAGTATATTTTTATTAATTCTGTTATGTTGGCTGTTATCAGTTATAATCATATTCCTTTTAAATTCATACTATGATATAAACATGGGCACTCATTTGTATCTAAAACCGAAAAGTATCATGGTATTTCCATGTTTTTTCCCATACCATATCATAATTTACCATATCATGATAGTAAGATTTTTGGGCATGCATATTTTTGTCTTAGAAAACTCCTTAAAGTCTCTTCTGTGTGATTAAATGTTTCCTCTTGGTTGATGGTAAAACAACTTAATATACATTTCTGATTCTCATATGATTCTCCATTATGTTTTATATGCTTCTTTTTGTGCTGTATGTTAGATCATGATGGACAAACCACCTTATTAGCTTTTCTCTACATGACTGACAGAACCTGTCTCACATATTCTTCACAACCTAATCCCGAAAGCATCACAGTCGCTCAAGATTTTCCTTTACATAAGTGCTTCATAAATATTCCGATTTGCATTTACTGTAATTGTCAAAAAGGATGAGCTGGACTCCAAAAAAACTGGATGTCACATATTGCTCAGAGCAAAACCAACCTCTCCAAAGCTCTTCACGTGATGTCTTGATCACGACTGAGAGTTTTGATAGCTGTTGTTGATGAAAAGTTCAGCTCTTGAAGTCTAGGTGTAGGGCTCAAATATTACAGCTGATGATTGACAGGCAGCTCAGTGCTCCGTTAGTCCATCATTTTATCCTGATGGCGAATCAGATCTGTGCAGTAAGGCAGTGAATCTCAACCTTTTGGCGTACCGGACCCCAGTCCAATTCAGAACCATCCTCAAGGACCCCCAGAACAAAACTGACTCGTATCATTTGTGTCTTTGTGAGGACCAAATGCAGTCAAGTATAATTCAAGTTAGCTGACTTGTCCAGTATTTGGCCATATCATCAGCTATATTGGATTTTTCTTTCATGGGAACATGTCATGTCAAAATATACAACATTTATACAAAAGTAACTCACTCAATATTAACTTCTTGTTTTTTGAACTGTTGTATAAAATTAACGTCACATTCACGATCACACTCACGTGCTAATATTCAGGAACACAGCACTCTTACTCGAGTGATACTTAACTATGACTATATCACGTCTAATTAATATCAAAAACACATAAAGGGATATTTTTTGGTTTTCAACTTGAATTATAGGCAGGGGTGCACATATGTTTTTCAGCCTGTGCACTGTAAAAAAAATTCCGTAAAATTTACGGTAAAAAACTGGCAGCTGTGGTTGTACGACGTGTTTGAGAGAGGCGGGGCATAGAGGACCTACAATAATGTACAGTATTTGAAAAATAATGTGTTTTTTGAACATTAAAGCATGTCAACATATTCTGTTACACCAAATACACAAAATAACGATCTTTAAAATAGCATTTAAAACCCCTTTAATCGTTGGACTGACAAATCTTTGTTTAAAAGGTTTGAAAAAAGTCTTAAAATGCCTTTAGAAAGTTTACAGGCATTATGGACAGAAGGAATGATAGAACGATATGACATTAGCTAGCTAGCTAGATAGATAGATAGATAGATAGTGGGATTAGAGGGAGCTTTTAACATTGCAAAAAGAGTATTCAGACTGGATCTGTGGTGACGTTTTCTCTTATTCCCAACTGGACTCTCGCAGGCGACTGTAAAATGCTTGCTAGCCTCCTTCAACAGCAGAAGCCTTGAGGAGCTAATCATGTAAACCCAGAAAACGAGAGCGAGGGATTGAAGGGCTCTCAATTTTCTCTGCTTCTTTTCTTCCTCTCTGACTTAATAAACATCCAGTTACCTGCTGACAGGTAGAGCAAATCCCATCCCACTGAGCTCAGAAAAGCCACCTTGCTTCTAAAAGAAATGGATTCATGCCATTCAGATGTCTTGCCCATAAACCAAACCGCTTTGTTATACTTGTATAATCAGTATTGAGGGATACTAACTTTTATGTAGAGTTGGATTAATTTTAATTAATCCGTTTGGGTACGTGAACCGGATTAAAAAGAAATTATTCACTGATTAAAAACTCACTATGTAGCTGCTTATGTAGGTGCAGAAAGTCTGATTCATTTAATGAATCAATTTATTCAGACAGTTTGAGTAACATGAACTGGATCAAAAAGAAATGATTGAGTGTTTGAGAACTCACTACACTCTGTAACACTTTAGTTTAGTGACCAATTCTCACTATTAACTAATTGATTATTAGCATGCATATTACTAGCATGTTGGCTGCATATATTAATGCCTTATTCTGCATGACCATATTTTAGATCCTTTAATCCTACCCATACAACTACATACCTTATTAACTATTAATAAGCAGCAAATTAGGAGTTTATTGAGGCAAAAGTCGTAGTTAATAGTCAATAGTGAGAATTGGTCCCTAAACTAAATAGTGAACTCATATGTAGCGTCAGAAAGTTTGATTCATTTTAATGAATCAGTTCATTTAGAAAGTTTGTGTAAATTAACTGGATCAAAAACAAACAATTCACTGATTGAAAACTCATCAAATTAATATGTAGTAATGTCTGTTTTTTTCCCCCCCAATGAATCATTTTGTTTGGACAGTTTGTGAAAATGAAACGAAACGACAAAAAGTAATGATTCAGTGGTTCAGACTCCGTGCCAAAGTCGCTGGTTCCATTTGCATTTTTTACAGCAAAATAGTTACCGTTTCCAACTCATATTCTTTCTTTCATTTTATTAGTGTTAATTTATATGTTCAAGTTTAATGTTGTCATCTTAATCAAGATTCATTCATTTAAAAACTGCTGATTTTTTAAATTATAAATAATATTTACTTTAAAGGGGTCATATGATGCGATTTCAAGTTTTCCTTTCTCTTTGGAGTGTTACAAGCTGTTCGTG